GATTGGGGTCGGGGGGCGGCGGGTGCGGGGGTGTCAAGAGCGACGGGTCGTGGCTGTCGAGCTGGTGCCTGTCTATCTGCCAAAACCCTTGTGGTCCGCGACTGGCCGCATGACCGACCTTTGGGTGTAAAGTGTGAATGCACATGGTTTTTGCTGCATCAGGCGGCGTGCGCACACGGGGCGGCGTGACAGGGGCCTGCAGACGCGTGCCTCCAGGCGCGAGCCCGGCTCGCAGAGTCGCCAGCCGGCCAGCTAAGCGGTTCGACCTCCCCCGCCCCTGCATGCAACGGCACGCCACCACTGAGACTGGGCGCGTCCCCCTCACTCCAGCGGCTTGCAGCCCTTGTTGGGGCACTCACCAGGCAGGTAACCCCACTCCCCGAGCAGCTGCCACGCGTCTGTCACCCTCTCAGGGAACCGCGCCAGCTCATTATGTGCGTAGAAGCCATAGTGCTCATCGGGGTCCAGCACATCCCGCCCTACGCGCGCGCCGGGCGCGCCCGCAGCGGCGAGGCGCGCCCGCAGGTCCCGGAGCGCGGCCTCGTCGCCACCGGTGACTTGGCGGCGGCTGGGCAGGGCGGGTGACAGGTTGTCTTCGCAAACGATAGCGTCGAAGCTCTCAAGGAAGGCCTGGATCCAGGAGGGGGTACTGCTGCCGCCGCCACTGCTGCCGCTGGCGCTGGTGGAGGCGTCGCCCGCACCCGCGTCTGCCGGCGGCTGCTCGAGCGCTACGCAGGAGGGCTTGACCTCCTCGATGATGCCGCGGACGACCTCCCTGCGCGGGGATGCGGGGGTGGTGCCATAGGCATATCGCTCCCATCCCTGTGCTTGCTGACTAGCCGCAGCACTGCTCGTGCACAGCAGCAGCGGCAAGCGGGATGCCACTGGCACATACCAGCCAAAGGGTGCCCAGCAGCATGTTGGCGCAAAAAATATGCGCCGTCCAGAGGGCCCATGAACTAGCGGCTTGCTCAAAGAATCCTCTATCCAGGCCTCGTTGGCTGCGCGGATCTGGTCGACAAGTGCCTGGGGTAGGCGTAGATTTTCAGTATTCAGGTCACGTCTCAATACATTGACTCGTGGCTTGGAGGCCCGTTCTGCGATCTGCTGCTGCCCGAGCGCGCGCGGCCGTCGGTACAGCACACCGCTTGCGTGTGCGCTTTTGGAGTGCATATTGACGCCGTGAGTTATGGGAAGCACTCATTTGGCCATGTGCCGCGCTTTGCGCTGCGAGTGTGCATGTGGTGTGCTCCAAGGAGGTCACCAAGTGACCCAAGAAAATCTGCCATCTCAGATGATCCTATTAACCGGAGCGTCCCCAAGCTGCATGTGTGATATGGCTGCAAACATATTGCATGACACCTGTCAATCCCGGGGTGCTTTTCAGATCACACACCAGAGTTCACAACAAATGTTACCAGCAGCATTGATCCTGGTTGCGCACCTCCTTGTGCAATTCAGGCGCACAACCACCGTCGCACCTATACATGGATGCGGACAGGACCGAATAGTCTTGTATTGCTGTTGGCAATTAATCATGCTTGGATACCACATGCTGCTGCACACCAATCGAGTGCACTGGGCTCGAAGAGATTGGTTGAGTAGAGAGCAGATAGCCAACCCTCAAACCAGCGCATCGGCGGGCGTGGGCCCACGCCCGCCACCAGCCCCACTACGGCTCGTACGGCGCCTCCTTTGGCGCCCGGCTGACGCTGCCCCAGCTCGTCCACTGTGCCTACCACCAGCGTCTGCTCCCCTGGCGCGATGCACCGCAGATCCCTCTCGAGGGCCACACCTGGCCAGCTGCCGCGCCAGCTCGGCTGTCAATAGCCCCTGACATACGTGGCTCACGGGCAGCGCCGCGCCCGCTCTCACCAAAGCTACGGGGGCCCGGGTCGCGCCAGAGTTCCGGGTGCACGCGGCGGCCGAGGCGCTGTCGTCGCGAGTGGCGAGCCAGCTCGGGGCCAGAGGCCAACAGCAACTGCAGCGCCGCCAGCTGCGCGTTGCTGGCAGCTGCCAGGCACACTTGTGGTGCTGCACTGCGATGTGCAGCGGCAGCTGGCTGCCCACTTCCCTTTCTATTGCCAAACCGCTGCCGCCGTGTTATACAGTACTGGCCGGCACGACGTGCGCCCTGCCGCTGTGGCAACTTGTGCCGCCTGCTTCCCGTCTGCCACCGCCGCCGCCCGCAGGTCGGCGCTCCCCAATCAGTCGCTGAATCCACGAAAGCTATCCGCAAAAAATATCTGAGCCAACAGATAGACAGTGTCCCCTGCCACGCAAAAAGCCTGCGACCAGCCCACAACACATGCCCGGCAGAATGAGGAAGGGTTAGCTTCCTTTTACATGGGTGACTAAAACCTGTGGGTAAAGCACATGCAAGTTGAAATCACAGGCAGGTTTGATGCTGGTGTGTGCCAACGCGGCAAGAAAGGTTGAGTCAACCTGGCAGCACTAGGCCTAGGTCAGCGTGAACTGATTGCAGGGCATGCATGGGTCGAGTTGATTAAGTGGAGCGAGGCTGCACACACAATAATAGTGCCCCCTCCTTTGCGATTGGATACATGCCCAATACGCAGCCAGGCGTGGCCTTCATATCTGCAACTCAACTTTGCTACTCTACGCAGATGCATGAATATACATGCACAAGTACGGGTTGTGTGCCAGAAATAAAACGGTTGCAGACACAAATAAGAATCCGAGTGGCAGGTGGCAACATGCCCTGGCTTGCCAGGGGGCGGGTTGAATGCAGCCACGCCTATACCCTCAAGCATCCCCACAACTGTTGTGGCTGCGATTGTGGATGATGGGCACCAATGCCCGCTTTGTGCTTTGGCAAGCACGCACGCCCGTCAGGCATGCATGCCAGGCTCCTACGAAGACCGCCAACAGCCATCCAATGTACATCTGTGATTCTTGCGGTATGTAATGTAATGTAATTTAATCATGTGCAACGTAATGTAATGAAATGCTGTATGGGATGCCCTGTGCGTGGCGCTAAAGTGATGCGTGGTACTGCCAAGAGTGCCAGCTGTTGCGCGGGAATTGTTCCGACGGCACCCCGCAGGGGGCACCTTGTACCTCTCTCTTCCAACGACAGACCGCGTCGATGCAGCGCGCATCTCAGCGGCCCAGGATGCACTGGGACCAATGCTGGCGCATCACCTTCTATCATGGGTACGCTTGGGCGCCTCGCACAGGGACCCCTTGAACCCATGGCAAATCAATCAGCCGCGTATGGGGACAGTGAGGTAGGGGTCGGCGAACATTCCAAGGGAGCCAGGGTAGGGGCAGTCGGCGCGGAACCGGAAGAAGCCGTCCTCGCCCCAATAGGTGTCCCACCTGCAGGAACAGGCGAGCACACGTGAGGTGGTTCAGGGGTGTCGTCGTCAGCATGGCGGCCGGCCGGCTGCGAGTGCACCTCCACACAAGATGCTGCTTATCTCGCATGCGACGCTGTATCCACATTCGTTGTGCTGAGCATGCACGTCAGCCAAGACGGGGACCCTTCTCAACCAGGCGCCGGTGCCTAGGCATCTGCCCGCACAGGCCAGTGGTCAGGGGCAGACTTACGAGTTCTTAGCAGTGAAGACCTTCATGGGGCCCTGGTCGGATTGGACCCCCTCCCTGTCGAAGAGCGGGGCGGCCGGTGGGCAGCAAGGTTTTGGAACCCACGCAACATGCACATGCACAACCAGTGCCCGTGGTCCAGTGCGCCTATTCTCCGCCTTCAGCACGCCTCTGAGCCTGCAGCACCCATCCATTCGTACATACAGGGAGACGAATCAGGCTGTGTTTCATGAGAGTGTTGCTCACGTGTAAGCAATCAGCGCGGTCTCATGGTTGAGGCTGCCACTCTTGGTGCAGCCCAAGACGCCTGCCCTGTAGTACTGGAAGTTTCTGTCTGCCGCCACACCAATGGAAATCACTGAGGTAGGATGGGGCCGCGCAAGGTCAAACAAGGGGCACAGGTCATCAACATCGGAGGGTTTGGCAGACAGGGAGTTGTCCAAGGTGCAGTTGTCGGGGGGCGCTTACAAGGTGGAGCTGATGCGGCTGCCGTTGATTCACAGGGGTCCGATCGCGTCACGATTGTGTTCACCTTCCACAAAAACAGCGCAGAAGCAGGAACAGCAGCAGCGCCAGCCCCACACGCATGCACACACAAACCCCAGACAGCCCACCATTGTGTGACAGAGCCCTTGTCACGTCTGCGATGTTGCCCGGCACAAATGTGTACCCCACCACTCCAGACTTGGCCCTGGGGACTTCCTTGCACTTGTCGTTGTCATCACCAACGTATGGGTCGTCGCTCTCCTTGGCCACGCCGTTGCAAATGGCGTTGTCGATGTATTCGTAGCCGTCGGCGCCGCGGCAGGCGTCACCTGGTGTGTTGATGAGGGTGCGTCGAAATAACATGTTGGTACAAGGGATGCAGGACGTTGGCATTTTTCACGGCTGAACCCCGTTTCTTTTGTTGCAGCTATCGGCCTGATGACCAAAATCGTGCTCATGAGCTGTGTCGCAGCTACCCCAGGCCAATGACCTTGCGACCGCCCCACAGCTTATCGCATCAACGCCATGCAGAGCCAAAAGTCCGGAAGCTCCCCACGGACTGCGCAGTCCAGCTAACCCACCCTCGAGGCAGTCCATCTGGTCCTGCTCCGAGAGGTCTGTGTTGGCATAGGTGATGGCTGCGCCCTGCTTGGTGTTGTTCTTGCTGATGATATAAGCGGCCTCCAGGGCAGCGATGTTCGCAAACACCACGCAGCTCCCGCACTGCAAACATCAATGTGTGCGTGCAGCGAGGGGCGTGAGCGCGGGTAGCTTATACAGGCAGATGGCTGAGGAGCAACATTGCGCATTTGCCTGTTGGCAGCCGCAGGATGATCGAAGCCGCTGTGCGGGGGTAGCAGGCCCTCCAGGCTCAGACAGGGGTGCCAGTGTGCTCAGACCCTTCTGATTCCTTTTCCTACTCACCGAGTCCTGGTTTTTGATTGATGTGACAGCGCGTGGCGTCGACGTCCGCCAGTCAACAGCGCTGTGTGCCTTCAGTGCCGCCAGCCCGGAGGAGGTCCAGGGGTGATTGCGGATGCACGTGAAGGCTGCGCGCCGCCCGGCGCGGTCAGCGACCATAGGACCGCCTGCAACGACACACGGGTACGCAGGTAAGCTGGTGAGCATGCGGGAGGCCTGCCGATCCAGGGCCCCCTGTGATTGCTGCGCGCAAATGCAGTGCTGCAACACGGCTGCTAGCTGCGGGCCCGAACCGCGCTTGCCGCTCACCGACAGGTGGCGCCCGCTTGCCGCCCAGGTAGGCCGCGGCAAACTCCTCGTGGGGCATGTGCACAAACGGCGTGATGCCATACGCCAGGCTGGGCCCCGACCGCGCGTTGAGCGCCGCGATGGTTTTCAGGGCCTTCTTGAACGCCGATTTGTACTTTCCGAGGTTCGCGGGGTCGGCGAGCACGGCCATGTGCGGCGGCGCCGCGCGCCCCGCAACCTTGAGCGCGTCCCGCGCCGCGCCGAGCGCGGCGGCGTGCGCAGCAAAGGCCGCATCGGGGTCTGCGAGCGCGGCGCGGACGGCGGCCTTCTCAGCGGCGACGGCTGCCTCTGTGGCGCCGGGCTGGGACTCCAAGGGGGCGGCTGTGGGTGGCATGGGGCAGGGGACACGGGAAGGGGGGCAGTTGAGAAGAGGGCGCCGAAACCAGGCTGGGTGCGCAACTCAGCTTACACAGTACGGCTGCAAGACTTTCAATGCCGTTGCTGCTGTGCTGTAATGCTTGAAGCATACACCCATTGAATGGGCCCCTTGCTCGTTCAAAACCAGCTCACTTTGTAACTGCTCGACTGTGAGCGCAGCAGCCGCTTGGCCCTCCGCTACAGAGGCAGAGCTTCCTTTGGTGTCGAGGGTTGCGGCAGCCTCGGCCGCCGCCGCAACATCACCAGAGCTCTGAGGCACAGAGCCTGACAGTTGGGACGCGAGTCCCACATCGCCGTTGCCGGCTGCGCCGCCGTCCTGCGCAACGGCTGTGGTCAGCCCCGTAAGCAAGGCTGCGACAAGCAGCAGCAGTAGGCTGCTTCTCGCCGCTCGCAACATGAGGCTTGTGTGGGCCATTTGCGGTGCTGCCGGGGCGCGCTGTGGGTGCGGCAGAGCGGGGGCGTGGGTCAGGGTGGAGATTGGGATGCGGGAAGAGGCTGCGGCGTGCGCGGACCACACGGTCTGCATGGTGGATTGGTGAGTCACACAATTCCTGGCCGCTGGTGGGCGAGCAATGGCCGAGGGCAGGAAACGCGTGTGCGCTGGGCGGTGATTGGCTGCAAGTGACGCCATCTGTGGCGGCCGACGCGCTGCCGGCCACCTGTGGCCGATGCTCAGCTGCTACAGCAATATAACTAAATCAACACGAATGTGAATTTTTTGCCCCGCACAGTCGCCCGGAATGCTCCGTGCTCAGCCCGGAGCAGCAGAGCACGCACCGCGAAACAGGAAGGATCGAGTGATGTACGCGTGCGCGACTCGGTAGAACATAAACAATTGGTTTACGATGACCGCGAGCAACGTGCGTCGCCTTGATGTTGTTGAGTCACTCGACCATATTGGGCCACTGCTTGGTGGTCTACTCGTGATTGATTCCGAAGTTTGGGCCCGAGTGCGAGATGCACACGAATCGAATGAATTCAAGAAAAGGCATAGAAATCCTCATGCCGTGCCCAAGGGCGCATTTGCGCGCTGCCGAGGTGACTCAGTGCCCAGCACGTGATGGCCCCTTGGCACAGCCGCAGGGCCAGCCACTGTGCTGTTGGGCTAAGGCGAGTGCATCCAAGTGTGACACATGGAACTGATTGCAGCACCTTAAATGGGGTTACTTCCAGACAGTGGCACGCGTCCGGCCAGGGTGCGTACATACCGAGCCTGTTGCACTGACAGGACCCGGATTGCACTGGTGCAATCGAGAGGCAAATGTGTGCGTGTTTGAACATCTGATAATCTGCACATCGCTCTCCTGCAGCAGGTTCGGTGATCTTGACAATAAATGTTCTAAACATGAGTAGATTTTTACACCCTAGAAATGCCCACCATCCTGGCAGCACATTGATATCCAAGAACTCCAGCCAGCTGTATGTGTTCCCCCTCGTTGGACGGTGTTTACTTGCGTCAGTGCGATCCTGTGGCCTCCCAAATTCCTAGCATCCATGGCTGTTCGAGAATCTGGCATGGATGGCGAGTGTGCTGCAGCCCACGCACCCCACATGCGTCGAGATTGTCAAGATTTGGGTAGTGAATGCCATGCGAGTGCTACACCCCTAGCTACAAGGAGCCTTCTCCAACTCAGGTCGACACAACTCATTATTTGCACCAAACATGTACAACATATGTGACTGGCAACTCACAGCGCTTGGAAGGTTCTCTCAAGGTGTTTCAGTGACCGTCACATTGTCAGTGACCTTTGTCAACACGTCTGTTCTGACTGTACCCAGTGATAAGGAAACAACAATGCGCAATCAACCCCGTGATGGGCAGCTCGCCTAGTCGCTTCTCGTGCCGTGGCTGTCGTTGTTGCCGCTGCACTTCGAGCGCAGCGCCAGCAGGCACTCTCTCGCCTTGTGAACCCTAACCTGGGTGTTGGAAAAGGCATGTGATAGTGCTTTTGGCTTCACATGTAGCCGCTGAGTTGCTCAAGAGAGGGCTTGAAAATTCTGGCCGGGTGCCTAGGGGAGCGTCAGGCGTCAGTGGGGCCGGTAGCGGCAGTTTCAAGGTATTTCTGACATTACTGCCCCGGTTTGCCATGAGACGATGACAACAAACGTGATTTTGTAGTGTTTAGACAGATCAGGACACATTTAACTGTTGCAACCCCAAACATTGTCCCTGCTGACAGGCTGATTAGGCTAGCTGCTGTGGGACCGCTCACAGCACTTGCCTGTGCTGAGCGCAGCGCTTGCTACCCACAGGTGGCTTTCAGTGATGCGTCTTTTTCCGTGCGGCCTGCCACAAATACTTGCAGGGGCCCACGCTTTGACGCCAGCCTTCAAGGAAATCACTTGGTGGCTGTGGCGTCAACCTAACAGCAGACTCCGAATTGCTCAAACTGAGTTAGCAGTCAATACGAGGGAGGCCTTTGTTGGTGCCTCTGCGCCCATCACCAGTGCAAGAGCAAGCACACACTAATATGCAGGGTTGTGTTCTGGCTGTTGACTGCGTAACAAGGCAGGCAGACCTAGAATTACACAATAGCCGCCTGTAATCTTTACAGACTGCAAAGCTCCAGATTCTCATGGCCGGATTAGTGGCTTGGTTTCATGCCTCTCATAAGTAATTATGTACATGGATCCTGGATCACGCTTGAATGAGATCCGGCATGGTAGCACTGTGGGGACTAATGTTGGCCTTGTGCGGAAAAATAATGATTACACATGCGTGCACATGCATGGCACCAACCCATGCAGGCTCGCAGGGCCTCGAGGTTTCACGCGTCGTCGGAATCAAGAGGGTCGTACGTGCTGTGTGTCATGAGACACGGTGCCGCCGAGACCAGTGCAGCTGCGCGAACGCGGCGGCAAACCCATTGTCAGGTGCGATGGCGAGCGCGCCTACGATACTGAGCCGAAATGAGAGGCGTGTGTTGTCAGGGTGCTGCAGGGGTGCTTGATTAGTCGCTGCGTTATGGATTTTGGGAGAGATCAAGCAAGCCTGGAGCCAGGCGAACGAGGAAATTAGTGCGGCATGGGCGGCTGCAGACGTCCTTGGGTGCTGGAGCAAGACCAAGCACACCGACAACAATGAAGATGGCCTTGTCATATGCCTGGGTAGTAGATACGGCAAGCGCAAGGGCATGCTATGTGAAAATGGGATCACCTTGCAGGAACACACGTATCAAGGAGGCAAGCTCCTGGGGGTTTCGAGCAGTGTGGTCCTCTTAGGTTTGGGGGTACGCCGCTGATTGCGTAAGTTTCTAGTTGCCATCATTCTATTGACGAGCAGCGCCGCCATCAAGCTGGGGTGTGCTTGTGCAGCTGTGCCCATCCTGGGCGCCGCATGTGTGTTGCACGTGCAAACAGGGCGCTCCGCCCGTACAATTACGTGAACCAGCCCATGCGCGCGACCTCGATCTCCAGCTCATGGGGGCCAGCGCCCCAGCGCATGCGGGTCAGCCCGCACCCGCCGTGCCGCAGGGCCACCAGCGCGCCGCAGAGCGGCGCCGTCTTGGGCATGTGGATGCGGTGCTCCCCGCCGTCCTTGTTCTTGTTCCAGCGCAGCTTGAGCGACGCGGTGTGAGTGCCCGCAAGCTCCGCCTGCAGGGCTGCCACAGCAGCGAGCGCCGCATCGTCACCGGGCCTGGCCACCAGCCGCACGGCTCGCAGCACCAGCAGCTTGTTGCCAAGCGGCAGCAGCTTACGGATGACTTGCGCCGGCACGTTGAGGGCAGCTGGGCTGAAGTTGCCAAACGAAGTGGCAATGCGCCGCGGCTGCCCGCTGCCGGGCAAGATGGGGATCCATCCGTCGCCAGCCTGCTGCAGCAGATATTCCTGCAGGAGCCATGCGTCCTGCTGGAGCGGCGTATCTGCTGAGCTGGCAAAGACCGCTACGACGGGCGCTGCCGCCGCCGCTGCAACTGCAGGCGCTGGTGACGCTGCAGCTGCGGCTGCAACCGCAGCAGCAGCCGCAGCAGCCGCCGCAAACACACGGCCCACCGGCTCGACCAGCCGAGCTAGTGGCCCGTGCCTCCGGTCGGTGGTCTGCGGGATGCGGGCTGGCTGTCCTGGCTGCTGGCCCTTGTTTCTGTATGGCTGGGCCGCTGCTGCCATTTTGAGAGCGACCCGCGATGGCGCGCCCGAGGCGTACCGTGGCGCTGGCTTGGCTGCCAGCACCGCCGCTTGCCTCGTAGCCATGGAGGTCGGCCGTTGTGGTGCAACGGCTGCAGACCGCATGCTGAAGGTACTCCCGTACATGCGTATACACTGGTTTACTTTGGTGGCAGGAACGATTGCCTTTTGCGAGGGACAGCTCGATGAATCCGAGCTGCCTAGGGTCGACCGAAGACTCTTCGGAGTGCGAGGCTCAGGCGTTTGTCGTGCATGAAATTTGTTGTGTAAATCACGTTGTCGTGTTGCTCCTCGAAACATGTTTGAAGGTACCTTGGCGCCCACACAACTGCCGCCTCGACTGCCTTGGGTCCAGCAACGCACACATTAATGAATTCAACAATGCAATTGCGCTATGTCAGATGGGGTTGATCTTCATGCTGAGGATTGAGCAGGGCAATGCTCAGCAGGGACCATGAAAAGATCCCCCACTTGCCTGTTTGACTAACATGTAGACGCGTGTTGTGACTAGCCTTGTATGCTTGCTTGCATGCGATGGTAGGAGACCCTTCATGCGCTGCATGGCCGCACCCCGCGCCAATGGACAGCTCATATGAGCTGCTGTGGCAGCGGGATGCATCCCGCTTCCATACAAAGTAATGATGCATCACCGTGCACGCACTGTTTGGT